GGATTCGAACCCGCGACCCTCAGATTGTGAGTCGAGGAAGAAGAAGAAAGAAAGAAGAAATAAAAACAACAGAAAATCAGTATGTCTGACTGCGGACACATAAAACAATATTCCCTTTAAATTAAAACAACTTAATTCTGCCAATAAGTTTTACCTTACTTGAGCTCAGTATGAAATAAAATATTGGTTACCAAGTGGCGTAATCTACATGTATATCAAACATACAAGCAGTTACACTAAAAATAAGAAAATACACATTTTGAAACAGTAAATCAAATGTTTCAAAAATAACAATAGTATCTCACGGATAAAAAGTACCCAATTATAACAGATTACAACATTTTATAATCTCTGTCGCTCATAGGAATAGAAATTAATCCTGATTTCGCATAGTAAGCCTATTATTTTGAACTATAGGAAGATTAAATCAGCGAACTGAACAACAACAACAACAACCAAAAAACGGAAGTAATCCAATAAATGTTAACATTTGATAAAAGCAAGCTACCTACACAGATTAAAACTAAGAATACATTTAGTAATGAGCATAGCTAATTAAACATGATTATTTCATCGGTTTGTATTACGCTGTTAATGCTAATCCACTGACATATACATTTGCTTTTCAATGAATCTTGACTGTATTGACTGTATTTTCCTTTCCTTTATTCATCTTTATACAGGATGTTTTATGAAACAACCATGTAGCGTACTCTGAAATTAATTGCAAATTGTTTATATATTTATCATAAAACAATAGCTGATATTTTGTATTTCAATTTTTATAATTAGTTTGATTAGGTGTGTGAAGAGGGCGTTTTGTATCCTTGAAACGACTTCTCAGTCCTTAAACTATATTCAAGTATATATATAAAAAACAGCTTTCTCACACACACTAAGCTTCTGAATGTTTCACAATCAGAATATGGTTGCACTTGGTAACAATATAAAAACCTTGTTAATTTTATTCATATCGTTTCACCAGGTTTACCTGGCACCATCAAGTGGGATACAAGAATTGAGGCTAATATAATTTAATTTTAAAAAAAGAATCACGTGAGAATCTATAATGTGACGGATTTATTATTGTATATTTATTTTAATATTAATGTTTGTTTAAATTTAATTTATATTTAGAAATGTATATAAATTATACTCTTAAATATGTATTGCGAAACTTCCGCCTATTCTCTAAAATTGTAGAAGATTCTCGAGTGTAAGAATCAACAATATATTGTGTACGTAAACGCCAGTGTAGCTTTGTATTGTTACGTAATCTGAATTTTCGAGAAACTCTCCACACGCCTATAAATATAATCAAAACAGCCTAAAAACAGTATTTATTATTGTGTTACCGTAATTAGGGTGCTATAAACCCTGTAGGCTATAACTGTGATTAACGCTTATTAATAGGAAAACTTCAGATATTTGACAAGAAACGTTTATAAATTTCGATCATTGCAAACTATTTAACTTCAGTGGATTCACATCGGACATTAGTACTTTAACGAAAACATTACCTAACGTCATCGGTGGAAACTCGACTGTAATCAGCGAGAACTAGAAAGCTAGCTAGTTCCCTGTTAAGTGAATTGTACCTACGTCAACTCGAAATTAACACGCTCATCGTAAATCCTCGATAAGATATCAAGGAAGTTTCAGACTAGAAAGAAGACTTTATATTGCTTGCAAGTTTGTGAAACTTTTTATATAAATCATTGTTTGCAATAACTATTTGTAATAAATGTTATTGTAAATTGTATTGTTGTTTATATATTAAAACATATTTGTATTAAAAAAAGAAAACTGTGTGAATCAATCTTGTTGGCAAATATCATAAATTTGAGATATATCGGCATATATCCAAATACTAAACCCAAAGTACAAGTTAACTCAGTTTCAGAGCATTCTAAATTGTAAAACGTAACAATAACAATAATAGCCTACTAGCAATTGCAGACAACAAAGTAATTCATCAATGAGCTGGCAATAAATAAAACCTTTAAGCCTGAGACTAAGTATGAAAATTCCTTCTATTTACAAGAGAGAAGGAAATGATTAAAATAGATAAAATTGCACATGTTTGTAATTAAAATCATAAATAATAGTCAACGTTAAACTGGTACACAATTAAAAACATTTTATTTAGGCTTATCTATGGCCTTCAAAACCAAATATGCCAAGAAGACTTGAGATGACTGGAGGATGTCCTTATCTATATAGTATAACTTCTCTAAAAAGGGGAGTTAAATTACCCCCGCAAGACCATTCAGATGTGATGGAAGCCTAGGTGAGTGTTTTCAGGGTCGCTGAAACCATATCTTTCCCAAATTTTGCATTCGTGGCCCTCTCGGGTTCCCGAGGGCGCCATGGTTAAAACTATGTTAATACTTCCTAACTTGGCACAAGTGCTTAGGTACAATGGGCGAGTGTCCTAACGAAGCTTTTTAAGCACATGCCTCCTTGTGGTAACTACAGAAGTAATTGGGTATCATTAAGAAGTTTGGGCGGTACACTGGGGCCTCTTTGAGCAGAAGAGCCCGAGTATTTCATGCTAATTTGATTTAAAGAATAATGATCCAAGTACGAACTAAAAATCCAAAGTCCGATCTTTAATCTAGAATCTGCAAGAAAACTTGTCGTCTGCTACATTTATATTAAATAAAAAGTTGTTCTCTAACACCTAAGAACGCGCTGCTGTCAAAGAACTTATAACGTGTGTTTTTGCCACCCTTAGTGAGTAACTAATTTCCTTCAGCAATTATTATTTTGAAACTAGAACAAACCTGCCTATTGTAAAATAAAGATATTTGCATCATACACGAGTTATAATGCTCATTTTCGAAATGTTGTTATGTTATCTTCTCGTATATGACATCTACAGAGATGGGAAGCGACTGAGAAAGGCGATGTGTCAAAGTGTTTATTGAATTATACACAAAAAAACGGCCCTGTATGGCCAGGTGGTTAGGGAGCTCGACTCGCGAGTCCGAATCCTCATCCCACCGAACATGCTCGCTCTTTCAGCCGTGGGGGTGTCATAATGTGACGGTCAATCCCACTATTCGTTTGTAAAAGAGTATCCCAAAAGTTGGCGGTGGGTGGTGATGACTAGCTGCCTTCCCTCTAGTCTTACACTGCTAAATTAGGGACGGATAGCGCAGATAGCCCTCGAGTAGCTTTGTGCAAAATTAAAAAAAACAAACAACACAATAAAATGCAGCACAACAATCGACCCTAGCTTTACATTTTAAGTGGTGTTATACTAAATTAATAGTGAAATCAGAATTGCAGCAAATCTCCGCAAAAAAAAAAAGTTTTTGTTCAACATAAAATTGGCAAGTAGGAGACTTCCGCGTTAGATGTTAAAGTCAGTACATTGAAATAACAATTTGAAAATAGGTTGATTTGAGATCGTTTGCATGTCAAACAATTATTGGGTTCCACTATTTGAACCGGTGATGGAAAAACTACTAACCTACAATGAACGATTGTTGGAGCGTTTACCTCGTCACGGTACTCTCGCACCTTCCAAACAAAACTGAGAAAATCGCTGGCATCAATGGGAACGCCGTGGTCAGGCCACGCTACGTACTGCATTTGAATAACATTCGTTTCTGTATTTGTCTAGAAGCAGAAGAAAAGACAAAGACCATGTTACAATTCAATACTATTGTGTAATAGTATGAAATATTGAATTTCGTAAGATTTCGCGTGAAAAGTTTTAAGAGACATTGTTCGGTCTCATAACACAAAAGTTTGGTGATTAATTTTTGTAATTATATGTTATAATTTCTACCGATAGGTGTGGTCACGAGTTGTCATTGTTTAATATATCTTGGGAATAAAATATTAAACCTACTCTTTCCCCATTCATAGAAATGGGAACTTAAGACAGACCTAGGAGAGGAAAATTCTATTTAACGATAGGCTGAATAAATAAGCTTTTAAATAGAGGATAAGACACGAAATGACCAATGAAAAATGAAAAGTTTGTCTGTTAGAGCATCCTTCTAAACTTAGTGCATGACTAATTAGTCAGATATTGTGATTTGTAAGCTTTCAGTTCAGAAAATTTGGTAATATAAGTCCGAATAACCTTGCTTTGAATCAATAGTCAAAGTAATGGTAAGCCTCTTTCTGAATCGTGATTTTGTTGGAGAAAATTACCAGTTTATTGTGAACGAGAAAGAAGTGAAAATTAAGAATATTATCATATTGGACCTAGTAAAGCTTGTGCACGTACTCGTAATAAATCAGTTGTTTTTATTTCTGTAGTAAACTGTTAAAGTGTTATTTTTAAGCAAGTCTATGAATCTCATCTGTCAGTCCGAAAGAAATGCACTGAATGTCCGCTGCATAGCACAGCTGTAACACTCATAACACAGGCCCTGTTTACGTATTAATAACACATATTATCATTCATTTCTACGTGCTAAGGATATGGTCCAAATTATTGTATTTCAATTAAGTTTGGTATTTATCTTTATGTGACCAAACAAAAGTATTTTAGTATTTCTCGTGTTTGAATGTCTTTACACACTCTTAGGTGTATATTTATGTGCTACAAAGCTTAGAGAATTGGTAATAAAATATAGTTTTATAAATTATACACATTTCTACTTGCAATATATATTAGCATTTTCATTATCAGTTTTCAAAGTAAAACCAATAATAATAGAATCATACATTTATTATTTTTTGTTTATGTTGTAAATTTAAACATAACTTACGAGATCTAATCTCAACAAATAGATCACTAAATTGGAAATAAAATGCTCCGAAATGTGCATAAATAAACACTTCATAAACCCCAATTTTATTCCATTAATATAGAGAATAGGCATTACTAATAGCTTTTACTAGTTACTTTTCAACTCTGTTCTCAGAGTATTTCCGTCCAATGCTTCATTCGTCTTTTTTAAATAAAAACTACTAATACTATTATATTTATAAAGATTTTAAAACATTTAGGGTTTTTGAATTGGCAGGCAACATTAGATTTCTTTTGTTGCAAATGTTTCTTATCTTTTAATATTTTGTCGCTTCTTCAACAGTGTCAGGAGTACAGACAGTATGTATAATTTTATACAAATATTCAACTACTTGAAATAAAATTTTTTGTTTTTTTGTGAAAAATAGACAAAGAGTAGACTTGCAACTTCCGGTCAATTTTTATTTAACACTACATGTATAAGTAACGCAGTGTTTTAGTATAAATTAGTAAATTTACTTCATTTATCAGCAAGTGCCCTTCCTCTAGTGGAACAGATAACCGTCAACCTTTACACACTGTGTTCTACTTTATAGCAAACTTTCCTAAGAGAACGCTCACGTGACACCATATATAAATGATCACAAACCATAGGTAGCTAGAGTAAAAGGATATTAGCCACATTCTTTGACCAACGTTCTGTTGTTTGTGCGAAGATGTTTTTATAAAATATTGGTGAATATGAAATGATGCAATCTTACCTGTTTATTTTTTAGACAAAATTCCCGATGAACAAGGTATGGCGTTTCCATTTCAACTATACAGGTGACTTCCAAATGACCAAATGTTTCCGTTTTATGTTTATCTGGCCAATACTTATGACATTTCGTTCGACCTCGTTCTAGCAAGGTTGTAACCATAACAACTAACTTCGATTTCTGTTCCCACACCATCTGGAAAGACGAGATACGATTGTGTGCCTGTTCTATACTGTAACTGTTTGTTTGTTTTTAATTATGCACAAAGCTACACAAGGGCTATCTGTGCTCTGCCCACGACGGGTATTGAAACCCGGTTTCTAGCGATGTAAGTCCATAGACACACCCTGTGCCACTGGGGGGCCTCTACTGTAACATCATAAATTTTCTTTGTGGTACATACCATCAAGGCTGGTGTAATCGGAATGATCATTACATCACAATAAAACTGATAACAATAATATGTGTTTGAAATCATTGTTAAACTTATTGTGATAATTCTACATAATCACATCAATTAACTAATATTATTAGATGCTTTATGTTATCCAGAAAACAGTTCCAGCCTTTCAGTAAATTAACAGACAGTAAAACAAACTCGTAAGCATATCTACAAGTATGTTCATTTTTTCTTACTCAATTAGATTAAGACAAGTATGCAACAGATTTGTTATCTGATGAGTTAGTGTTCAAGAAATGGTGCCAATTTTGATCACATCACGTTTTTTTTCATGTTACAGCCGATTTGGGGTACTTCATAAGTTAAAGCCCAATAAGTGGTGCCAATTTTGATCACATCTGTCAAATGTGCTGCCAACAGCGTTTTTTTATGTTACAGCCGATATGGGGTGCTTCATGAGCTAGAGCCCAATTATTTTAATCAAATCCGTCAAATCTACTGCGAGCAGCGCCTATTTCGCTACAACCGATTTCAGATAGTTGATGAGTTCTTGACAAATAAGTGGTGCCAATGTTGACCTCATCTGTCAAATGTGCTGTAAATGGCCCTTTTTGGCCAAGCCGATTTGGGGTACTTCATGAGTTATAGCCCAATAAGTGGTGCCAATTTTGATCACATCTGTCAAATGTGCTGCCAACAGCGTTTTTTTTTCATGTTACAGCCGATTTGGGGTACTTCATGAGTCATAGCCCAATAAGTGGTGCCAATTTTGATCACATCTGTCAAATGTGCTGCCAACAGCGTTTTTTTTTTCATGTTACAGCCGATTTGGGGTACTTCATGAGTTAGAGCCCAATAAGTGGTGCCAGTTTTCATCAAATCTGTCAAATCTACTGCGAGCAGCGCCTATTTTGCTACAACCGATTTCAGATAATTGATGAGTTCTTGACAAATAAGTGGTTATTATCTGTCAAATGTGCTGTGAATAGCGCTTTTTGGTCAAACCGATTTGGAGTATTTCATGAGTTAGAGCCCAAGAAGTTTACTGTGAACATCAAACAATTTTTAAAGATTCAATACTCCGATTCAGTAAGCGATATAAAAGTACTGTTTACCATAAATCCTGACAAGTAACTTAAATCCAATTAAAGTCAAAGGTAAACTTAACATATGATGTTTATGATACCTTTTGACAGAATTAGAAAACTTTAAAAATTATAGTTTATGAGTAAATCGCTTTAAAATTATTTTTCAGCAAACACTGAATTATTTTTGTCATTTTTGATAGTTTAGCTCGAAATAAAATATAATGGTTGATTATATTGCATGTTTACTGACAATTAAGATGCATTAATTTTCCTTAAAGTGTATTCGATGTTCAACTCAGACTTGCAGATAAGAATACTATCATCTGTTGTAAAACTATTCGTAGTTGTAAAAAATGTCAGTACTTATAAGATCCGGTGATAAAGGTAAACTCTTTTAATATGAATGAAATATGAAATTTAATTTGTTTTTAATTTTTTTACATGTGTACGAACACTTATTTAACAGCAAGCATAATGTTCCACATATTACTTTGTGCAAAATAGTGTTATTATAAACAAATAAAAACTTCTCTATAGTGTCCAAGCCCTCAATGAACTGATGTCCAGGATTCCCTATATTTCTATTGAATGAATGAATTCTTTTTTGCTCTATTTATTGGGCTTGTTGTGGGCTGATGGTTAGCAGGCCAGAATGTGGCCATTGATATGATATGACGGTGACGGTAAATCCGACTACTCGATTAGAGTAATCCAAACGCTTAATTGGATACTGTTAACTATCTGCCTTTCCTCTAGTCTATCAGTTCAAAACTAAGGAGGACTTGCAGAGATAGCTATTGTGTAGTTTTACGTGAATGTTTATAACAAACATTTTTCACAACTTGATTTTGAAATACTGTTAAAACTACCAAGTCAAATATAGACAAAAGTTACATATAATCAAAAATAAAACTATATTAAATTTTAATGATTATTCCAAAATATCTTTTGATTTTATAAAAATTGTTTGAAATCAGAAAGGAAAAAACAAATTAAGTTGTTCTGTTTGTACAAAGTAGAAGCTTAAAGATCTTTCAAATCTGTTATCAGGAATCACTTTTTGTATCAATAAGTGTTAGGTTTTGTTTGTTTGTTTGTTTG